TTTTAGTATTACATAAATTTAATTAAATAAATGATAAATTAAAAATTAATTTTTATTTTTTTATATAAATTTATAATAAAAAATATATTAATATACATTCAACCTCTGTCATTAAGAGACAAGAGGTTAAACAAACCCTATATCTATTAGCAATTTAAGAGATTATGTGGTAGTTGGGTACATTAGTGTACTTTTTGTGATATGAATCCTTAATCCTACTTAATGTATATAATTTATTACATCAATTTTACATCTAATTTCATGGCTTACTAATTTTTTAAGAATTTTTTGGCATAATTTCCAATATTATTACTGAAGTAGATAATTCTTTATCTATAATAAAAGAATAAATAATTAAATATTACCTTAAGTTGTGTAGAGGAAAACTACCATTTTTTATTTTTTCTATACAGTTATGCAGTTTTTTTTATTTCATTACTCATGTTATAAATGTAAAATCAATGTAATTCTATCCTCTAAGAAATTTAATAGACCTTTGAAGTTTGAAGTTCTATTTTGCTTTAATAATATCTGAAGGTTGATCTTAGTATTTTTGCTTTCTAGAGAAAAGATATTCACATGGTTCATTTTCCTTATTTTTTATTATCTACAGTCATATGAGCTATAATATTTTTGAGAGATTGAAATACGTAGAAACATAAATACTGCTCCTATGTTTGGCATTTCTCAACATGACTTCCCATTGTTGTTTGTCAAGTGTTAATGAATATTTTTTTTTTTGTTTTAAATTGTTAATTTTTAATTATTTTTAATTAAAAATTCTTCTCTTTTTATTTATTTAAATAATTTTAAAATTACTTATTTTTTGTACTTAATTAATTATAATTTTTGTAAATTTGACACTCTTTTTATATATTACTTTATTATTTTATTACTTAAATGACTACTACACTTATTAGTAAATTTTAGCCCATCAATTTTTCTTGAAATAATATACCATGAATCTCATCTATTCATTTCATGCAAATTTCTAGTGAAATTGAAAATTAATATAAAGTATTGATACATACATCACTTCCTAATTACAATAGCAGTTCATATGTAAACATCAT